TTCGTATCTGGGCGGTCAGCAGGAGGGCCAGACCTTTAAAGAAAAAAGTGTGGGATTAGTCTTTGAGCTGAGCAATACAAAGCAGGACTGAACCCAATATAACCTGTACTCCCTCATTCTGAGGGAAGTGGAGACTGAGACAAAAAAGTCATGTTTCATCAAAAGCCTAATCTGAACTTGCTTGAGATTGTTGTATGTTCTTGAAAAAACACACAAGAATCTGTTTTGTCAAGCATAGGTCAGCTGAGTGTTCATACAGAACCAGGTACAATCTGTGGAATGATTTCATGTACAAACATAGAAAACATTGAATTCACTCTCCAGTATTCTGATTTTTGGGTGGGTTTTGTGTTCACAAAGCGTTTTCAATTTCAATTAGCAACAAATTCTATGCATTTTTAAAGCATAAATATCAACATGACTAGTACTGAAAAATACAACTATGCCCAAAGTAATTGCTATATCTTTTCTTTTGACAGGAGAGTTGAAACATCTTTAACTCCAGAAAACCTCTTGTATAACCACCCAATACAGCAAAACATCCACAAATACTCATCATAAAGGTGGAGGATGAAGTTATGAAGCAGGACTTACCGGTAAGCAAAATGAAGTTGGCCATCTTTGCATGGGAATAATTGCATGCAGCCTGTTTCTTGCTTATATACACTTCTCTCATCTCATGCAGGTCTTATATCAACAAAGACGCGCAAACATTATGCAACTTGGTAAAAATCATTATCACAAAAAATGATACCAGTACAATGGGCCTTAACGCTCCAGATGGAAACATCACTATTATCAGGCTGTGCCATGTTGTGGTGTTGCAAGAACTGTGGAAGAACAAAATTAGATGGCTTTTCTTAGAAATTTGGTTTACAGCAGCAGGCTTTGTGTCAACACTGGCGATTACACAGTGATAGATGGCTGAAGCATTCACCTTGTGCTGTCATTGTGTCTGCCCAGAAGTGGTAGGCACTGCCAAAGCAAAGGTGGTTTACAAGGGTTTTGTCTCCTTGGCTGGGCAGTCAGTGAGGCAGGACTGAGTTGGGCTTAGGCTTACAGCAGTGGACTTTCCGGAGGACACAAGAACTGGGCTCACTTGCCTTAGGCAAACTGTCTGTCAGGATCCAGGGGGCTTTACAATCTGAGCTGTCTCTTGCCCACACCATCTGAGCTTGTTGTCACTTCAGGGAAGTGGAGAGAGTTTCCTGGTGTCCTGTCAATAAGGAAAACCAACTCAGCTTCTGCCGAGTCATTCTCCCACTTGCAAAGATAATTTTCTTCAGGGAGAAGCATTATTTCTTAGAGGTCAAGCTCTATGAGAGAGAGCCCAGCAACAGAACATCATGCAGCTTGCATTTCCTCCCACACTTTCCCTTCTCTTTTTGATCAGCTGTTTCGCAGACAGAGAGATCTCTGTGTTGCCAAGCGTTCATGTCTTGCCTTAGCTTTCTGTGACGTTCCATCGGGAGAAATTACCTGAATCCCTTTTATTCTATATGAGCTTGTCTTATTTTGTTGTTTTCAGGATGCAGTGTCTTTCTTCTAAGCATATCTGAACGGAATTTTTTACAAGGCAGTTAGAGGTGCTTAAAATGACATTTTTAACTCAGAAGATTCTGTCTGCACACTCAGGCCTACTGCAAATGGTGGAGTAAGACACAGCGTGCGCATGACCAGTTGCTCTGCACTGATTTGTTCTTTAATTCCTGTTAAGGTGATGTGAAGGTGAATTTCCAGTAGGTCACCCAGACTTTCTTGAATGGGAGCCTGGAAAAAACCTGCCCATATCACATGCTGCCAACCCCCCTGCCGTTAAAGTTCATTAGACTTCTAGGTTTGTGTATGGAGTGGATGAAAGACGGTGAATGATTAAGGAGGTTTGTCAGAGTCAGGCATGGTGCTTGCACCACCTTGCACCGTCTCCTGTGAGATGTGCCAGACAAGTGACTCTCAGCAAACTCACTGAAAATGGCTTTTTTCCCCAAAGACCTTAGCCATCCTGGCCTTGCTAACCTTGGTGTGTCGTGGTTTAACCTGGCAGGCAGCTGAACACCACACTATACAAAATAAGTGATGCACAACGCAATTGCTCACCACCCACTGACCGATGCCCAGCCTGTCCCAAGCATCTATCTCTCTCCCCCCTGGCCAAATCCCCCCGAGCATGACACCATATGGTCTGGAATAGCCCTTTGGCCAGTTGGAGTCATCTGTCCTGGCTGTGCCCCCTCCCAGCTTCGTGTGCCCCTGGCAGAGCATGGCAAACTGGAAAGTCCTTGACTTGTGTAAGCACTACTTAGCAACAAGTAAACCATCAGTGTGTTATCAACATTATTCTAGTACTAAATCCAAAACACAGCACTGTGCCAGCTACTAGGAAGAAAATTAACTCTATCCCAGCCAAAATGCGGATACGGTGTACGTAAGCCATTGCTGTAGAGAGGTTGTTTTGTTCTCCCTGTCCTTGCTATGGAGGTTAGACAGGTCATTGTGGAAGGCTAAACTGGGGAGAAATGTAAAGATCAATGCAACGGCACCGTGTGTTTTGGAAAACCCTATCCTAACCCTTATCTGGATGCAGAGGTACAGGTATCGGTGTCCTGGTACAGGGAGATTGGAGCTGACAGCCGATACAGGCGTTTGTGCTGATGGCAGCGTTATGCTAGCTGAGCTTCATGGGTATGAAAGATCTGGCTTTGGATTTCCATGTGAAGCAAGACTGCTTCCCATCACATTGGCAATGCAAAAATGCTGTTGAGGTAGTTTAAATGCATTCTGGATTTATTTTTTGGATGTGAGAAGCTATGTGATTTTGCCCATAAAAACCTGGGGAGAGCTATGCCTGGTTTGGGCTGCTGAGCTGGTGTTCCTCACTGCAGGCAGACAACTTACTACCCTACAATCTGTTGCCAGTATGTTTTTTCTTAGTGTGGGGTAGTGTTCTTGGAAATGCCTTGGGAATTTTCATATGGGATTACACCCCAGATATGTCTGCATATACATATATATGTATAGCCTATGTTGGGAGTAGCAGGGAGAAGCAGTGTTTCTTGGAGAAATATAGAGTACCATAGGAGCAAGTATGGGCGTTGCTATCTTCTATGTTCTCAGATTTTTTTCTCTTTAATGGTGGTTACGTTTCCAGCTCTGGAGCCTTTTTCTCTCATCTCTTTTCACAAATTATTAATATGAACAATAGGAAGCTATTCAAAATTGTGGGAAGTCCATTGAAACTAGTTTACTGAAAGTTTTCTGAGGAGGATGGGTAATGTTTGGAGGGAAGATAGAGGTAAATTCTTTCTGCCAGCTTGCTGCATTTTTCCTTCGCCTCTTGGGAGAGTCATTTCATCCTATGCTTAAATTCTCTTTAATGGACTGGAAAAAAGCAGCTGTGCATGAAGGAAATCATGATGATTGACTTTTTAGCGCAAAGCACTTTACGGGTGTTAAATATGATCTGGCACTATGGCAAAACGTGATAAACTCTTTCTTTCAAACCCATGCTCTATACTTGCCTGGGTAGCGCTTTCTGATGTGCTCCGAGAGGGCTGTATGGGAACCTCATTTCCTTATGAGCTAGAAGGTTTGAATATTCTCAGAAATGAGCACGTTCTCTCACTTAGCATACAGTACAGCCTTGCCTGATACCAGCAGCATTATTTTTCAGCTCTTTCATTTTTATCAGCTATCCTCATAAGAAACTCTCACTCCCAAAGAATCATGTAATTCGATGAATTAAACAAAGAAATTGAGTTAAAGGAAGACGTTTCCCTGCACATGCAGCTTCTCGATTTGCAATTAAGTGCACCTTGAAAGCACTGCAGGAGGCAAAATGAAAGCAAAATAAAAGCATTAGCATGTAATTTTAACTAAGGAGAGCATCTTCCTCCGGCTTTACAAGAATCTTGTAGTGAGTGGCTGGGTACTATCAGCAATTAAAATATCGAACAGTAGGTGTCAATGTTGCTTGCTCTTCCCAACCGTGTAGATTGAGTGCTTTTCTAGCAATCTTCTAATGGCATTTCAAGAAGAAATGTGGTTGCATGCCAGAAAGCTTAGTTGCTGCTCCTCTTTGTTAAATCACAAACAGAGATCTGAGATTAACAGGACATTTTTTTGCACTTTCAGATAGAAATGGAGTACTTTGTTCTTGCCATAGAAAAATAACCGGGATAAAGGCTAAACTTTGTTCAGTTCATTTCTCCAGAGCTGTATAGTCTGTATAAGACATGACTATTTTAGAGCAAAAGAGGAGCTATTAAACACATCTGTCCAAAAACCTGATCTAGTTAGCATTGTCCCTGCTCACTGCAGGGGGGTTGGACTAGATGACCTCTAGGGGTCCCTTCCAACCCAAAACATTCTATGATTCTATGAAAAACTAGCCTAACCTTGCAACATGCCAGGATGCCTATTAAGACATTAGTCATTTTATTGATATGCCCAGGAATCACAGGGTAAAATCTATAAATCTATGCTTTTTGGCTATCTGAAACGTTTAAGTCACCTGGTTATATTGCTAACAAAGAATTTGGGCTCACTTTCTGACTCTCCTGCTTTTCCTTTCCAGCATAGTATTTATTGCAAAGGAAAATGGGCTTGAGTGGTCAGTTTAAAGATAGAAACTTAATTTCCCTGGGCCCGTGTTATGTGTGTGCAGTCTTTGTAACATAGTTTTATTCAAGTGGCTTTGGATGAAGCAGGCCTAAATCGTGTGTGGCTTTGACATATGTCCCTTCTTAATCTGCTAGCAAAAGGAGATTTCAAACCATCTCTGATGCGTTTATGATTCCCAAACCTTTCCTTTCTGTTGGACACTTTTTTGCTGTGGAGCAAACCCTGCTTTTCACACTGGCAAAACATGAGACAAAACAGTCACATGAGTTTATTCACTCCAATGACAAATGCTAC